TCCGCCCCCGCCGCCCCCGTCCGCTGTCTTGCGTACCTTCTCCACCGATGATAGGTCCGCACCAGCACGTTTCATGAAAGAGGGCATTGCGATGTCCGAGGGCTGCTCCGCGGCCGCGGCCGCCGCCATCCGCAGCTCGGGAAGAGGAGGGCCGAGGTGTCTGCGTAGATCGAGCGCGTGAGTCAGGTCGCAGTGCCGCGACTGGCCATGGAAGGTGAGCCCGAATATGGCTACGTAGATCCTCGTGGCTTCGGCCCTGAAACTCGCATATCTGGCAGCTGTAAGAGCTCGACTCAACCAGGGGGACCATACTTCGGGGCGCATAGTTGCCGCAATACCCTCGAGCGAGCGCCGCCTGCAAGTGACGAGCCGCCATAGTGCGATTTCTGAAGACCTGCAAGCAAACGGGGCACTCGTTCGACGTGGTCAGGACGTGGCTGAGGTTTCGTACTTTATGTCTATGTCTAAGGTGTTCCATATATCCTTTTTGCGTTGCAAACCGACACCCACATCCCTGTTTGTGGCCCTCCCCGTCCTCAACCTCCAAGTTGCAAACGTAAGGTAGCCCCTCCTCCTCATCTTCTTGACTTCCTCCTTGGGGACCTGGAAGCTCGTCGTTATGATACCACGGAGGGACCTCGTATGTGTGCGTCCTACTTCGTACCCTAGTGAAATCCACCTTCTGAAGGTCCATCATCACCTCCTCATCTTCGAAAAGCAACCAGGGGGACTCCGACACTCTCGAGAGAAGCTCCTCTGCGTCGGGGCAGGCGCGCATCGCCTCCCCCATATCCGTGCCGACTCTGCGTGCCCAGGGGGAGGCCCATTCCGTTAAACCTGTAACTGCACACGGCCATCTGAGAGGGTCCTCGAATGGCATGTCGCCTCCAAAGAGTGCCAGGAGTACTTGTACATGTGACTCAGGGTGTGCTGACCACGACTGATACCAACGCAAGCGCCTGCAAAGTAACTCCGTCTTACAATCCGAGAGCTCCCAATAATCCAAGACCTCCCGTGTTGTGAGGGAACGAATATGATCCTCATCGTGCGTGCACGCCCCCCCCAACCATCGCTGTACGACCCAATCGTGCTAGATGTCTGTCGAGAAGTTGCGTCTGCTTATCCGTGAGTATGAAGGGTTCCATTCCTGCAAGCAGAGAGCCTTGGACAAGACCTGTAAAGATCACCCGCTTCCACTTCCGAGGTATGTTCAATGACCAAAAGGCCCCCATACTGTAGAAGCCTGCTGACGATGCTGCGATGCGGCGCTCGATCTCGGGGGAGGACTGCTGCAGGGGGGTGATAACTGGTCCCAGGTATCTCGCCACGTCCGACACGGTGCCCTCCAGCCTACCCTCCTTCACACCTTGCTCCCTCAAAAACCGTTTACACGCTGCTGCTCCTGCACCCGCAATATAGAAACTAGTGACCTGTTTAGAACGATTATGAACATAACCTGCTGGTTCCAAGGTGTGATCAAGAATCCGATCGATGGTCCTAAGGTCTGCAATAACATCTATCATGGTGTCGCCGATAGGTAATGGTACTATACGAAGGAGGTCGTCGGCATACTTTTGGTACGACATGTCCACAATTCCCCCCGCCCATGACGACTGTAACAGGTTAGTGCTGGGGATGCGTTCTCGGACTTGTTCGGCCCAATCCTCCACTGGTTTCCTAAAACAAAACAAAAAAAAAAGACTAAAAAAAAGAAAAAAAAACAAAAAAAAAAAAAAAAAAAAAAAAAAAAAAAAAAAAAACAAAAAAAAAAAAATAAAAAAGAAAAAAAAAAAAAAAAAAAAAAAAAAACAAAAAAAAAAAAAAAAAGGGGGCTCCCTCCAAATCCTTGTACTTACGGGTCGCCCCATTACTCCCACAAAAAAAAGGAGAAAAACCACAACAGCCGTTCCGTCTTTAACAGGATCGACTCGGTGGTCGTCTCAATCTCCATAGTAGATAACCGGTAGCGCTGCCTGCACAAGTTCCAATCTTGGGGGGGGACGTGCTCCTGGATGACGGTGTCGAGAGCGTCCCACTGGGTACTTCCGAAAGCATTAGACATGTCCTTCATACTAATGGCATACGACCATCCCGCCTGCCTGAGGCGGTAACTCATAGCCATGATGCTCATAATCGCGTCCTCCCTCCTCCTGTGACGGGCAAAGCCGTGATCTTGTGGGGGTAGAACCAAGGGCAGACGTTTAGCATACCATGCCTTGCCCACCGCGGGCAACGCGTGGATGAGCCGGCGCCCCTTCGGGCCTAACATGTCGTTCTTGTACAGTCCGATGCCCCTACTTCTGTGCCAATAAAGAGGTGTAAGATCACAGCGCCGTATCTGTAATAAGGCTTGGTGGAAGACGTGTTGACAAGATTTAAGGCATGGGATCGGGTCAGAATAACCAACTCCGTGATGGTGCTTATGCTTTCCCAGAGGTGTAAGGAACATGTCCCAGAGCTCTAACGGTGCCGTGCCAGGTGGGACCACTCGTCGCTTGCCTCCTTTTCTGCAGTACTTCCTGATAGCTGCATAGTCTTCGGCGGCTAGATCGGCAAGCGAGCTTTCGTCTGCAACAGAGACTACTGGGGGTACAAGGTTATCTCGTTGTGCACGCCACGTGTCCCAAGATATAGTATGTGTGGCCATCCCTCCCTGTCCCCCAGCTCGTGACGTGTACTCCTCCCATTCCTGAGCATCCAAGAGAGCGGGCCCAAGTCGTCGTCCGTCCCTCTGCTTCGCACCGAACCTACACTTGGCTGCCTTTCTGGATAATTGCATAGCGTCTGCCATCCGCCGCTCCCGCCAGGCTTCCTCGATGAGTTCAATCTTGAGGTCCCTATCCAGCTTCGCCGACTTCCGCCGTTCACTCTTGAGAGTGTTCGAGAGCCGCCGTAATTTCCTCTCGATCTCCTCCACCTCCTCCTCCGACTTCCCCTCCTTGCTGGCCTTCATGTCCCTCCTTATCTTCAGAAGCTCCCTGCGACGCTCGCAATCGTCCGAATGGGGGGCCAATGGTGCTCTCTGGAAGTGACGAAGGCCAACGGTGGTAAACGTGCGCTCGTACGCCTCGAACACCTGATCTGGGGCCCCCGTGTGCGTAAGCTCTAACAACTGTTCCTCGTTGGACTCCCATTCTGCCGCCAGGTCACGAAGGAAGGCGGCCTTGCCGTGCCCGTATCTAACAGCCATCATCAGAGCCGACGTGTTCATCCGAGGCTCCGCAGGGGGGGGTAGCTGTCGAGGGTCTTTTACATACTGCACTTCCAGGTACAATGGAACGTGGTCTCGTGGGGGAAGGCCCCGTACTGCCTGAACTTGCGCGCCTAGTGTGCGGAGAGTGTGGCAGTGGATAACCCTTTCATGGTACCCCTGAGGCAAGTACAGGTAGTCAATCATCGACGGTCTGGACGGGTTCGTGCAGGAGAAGTAAGTGTACTCACGTGCACGAAACGTGGCAGGTGCGCACATGCCGTGCTGGTCCAGCAGTTTCCTAACCTCCTCCCCTGCTCCTCGTCGTCGCTGTTCCCGTCCTCTTGTCTTCCCAATCGCCGACGACACGACCTCCTCCCACTGCCCCGCAATCTTCGACAGCCCCATCCCGTCATTGAGGTCCGAGTAGAAAATGGGGAGCGTGCGGGACGGGAGGGAGTTGAGAACGTCGTTCCACCACCTGATAAGTGCCTGTATCGTCGCATAGTAACTCCCCGCCTGCCCCTTTTTTGACGGTTGAGGAGGGAAGTAGAGGGAGCCGAGCACGAGATCCTGGGCACCCCTCTTGACTCGGACAGCGACCCCTCGGCCCGCACATTGTACAGGAGCAGCCCACGTCTGAACAATATCCTTCTCTCGATAAGCTCGGCCCAGACAGACGGCGCAACCGGTGCTCGAGTTGGAAAGGGGGGCCTTCTGATAGACCGATTCAATGATCAGGCGACCCTCCAAGCGACGACGTAGAACCCCACCACCACGCCTACAAGTTTCCCGAGTACCTGCTAGGAGTAGGGCGTCCGCACCATGGGTGGCCTGCAACAGCTCTGACATCCGAGGGCCCGTCGCGAACATAGGGTTGAAAGCAAGAATACGAAGAGCAGACCCCATCGGCGCCATGGTCTGCTGTGGAGAGGCGCGCGTCGACCTCCCAACACCTTGTTCGGGTGTATGGAACCCCAGTGCGATGGCTTCCAAAGACGAAAAAGGGAGCCTGCTGGGGCTGGAGGAGGAGGAGGAGGAGGAGGAGGAGGAGGAGGAGGAGGAGGACGACGAGACCTGGCTGGCAGTGCCGCCCGGCCTCGTCCCCTGAGATCCTGGCATCGCGTGTTTGCTTTCGCCACGGGCGATATCGCCCAGATGGTGAGCGTTTTTCCATTCGGCGTTTCGACATTGGGCGGAAGGGGGGGGGATCTGGCTCCAGACCTCTGCTTAGTGCGACTGTTTGCAGCAGTGCGTCCATCATGCGTGAGGCTCCACCTGCTCGAGACAGGCGCCCAAAAATCAGCCAAGATCTACTCCACGGGGGGGGGAGGGGGAGGGGTGCGAGGGACCGCGCCGATCGGCAAAATAATGAATAAAAACGATCACGTTGTTGTACCATGTTTCAATGTTTTCGCGCCGTCGGATCTCAGAGCCCTTCCACTGCATCTGCCCTGCTGGCCTCCGCGTCCCCCCTGCGCTCCCCTCCGCCCTGCCTCCACGATGTCTGTCCCTTCCTTCTCTGCCTGGCGTCCCAACTAATCTGTGCCCCGACAGCATGGCACTGTTCGGAATCGGTCGGAGAACCTCGCAGGGCGACCAGGCTGCACCGCGGCAGAGGTGCTGGAAGTAAACTTGACAGCTGAGCAGCACTCGCGTCAACTAGCAAATCTGCAACAACGTCTTCTGAACTTGCACACACAAACACAGACAAACACAAAAACACACACACACACACACACTGAAAGCCGAACCACCACACACACAAACACACACACACACATACCTACACGCAACACTTCCGAACCGTCCAACCGTCCATGGTCGAATATACAGCTTCTACTTCTCTGGACCTCCTCTCCTCTGAGTAGATGTGTGACAACTGCGAGAAAAATGCCACGAGAGGGGGGACGCGTAAGGCGTACAGGGGGGAACCGGCTCAGGGGTTGAGCACCAACCTGGAGTCGGCGATACATTGCCGATACATCGGCGACAGGCCTCCACTGGCGACTCCGCACGCTCCTGGGCGGACTGGGCCATCGGGCACCTACCGGCGATCAGTGGGTGCTTCGGGGTCGACGCACCCTCCCCTGAGCCCATCCCGTCCCCCCCTGACGTTGCCCGCTGGTTTTCGGGCGATAACTCGGCT